CTGGGCGAATGTTCGCACGCCTTCGCAGAGTTTCGCGCAACTCTGCAACTTCGGTCGATCAGCTCAACTCTGCTCGGTTGAACAGAATTCGTTGAGCAGAACTTTTTCGACCAGCGCTCTTCGACAGAAGCTCGCCGCGCAGAGATCGCGACCAGAGCTCATCGCGCAGAGTTCGTCGACCAGATTCTATCGAGCAGAGCCTGCTCGACCGCAACTTCCGCCGAACTGCAGAAGCCCATTTCGTCGACCGATCCGTCGCGAACTTCCCGTCTACAGCGAGATCAGCTACGCTCAAGAAAGGGCGGGGGCCATTTCCTTCGACAGACTCTGGCTATCTGGTGGGACGCAGTGTGCAGAACGAAGAGACCTGAGTGGGGCTTTCCTGGTGAACGTGGAAAGAAGTGTCCCGGTGGAAGCGTCCGTACAGATCGTCGTCCTCCCGTGTGCAGAAAAGTAACTGTGATCCCACGGTTTTGAAGGTATCTAACACCCACCAAGTTCCGAGAGAACGAGGGGATGTAGAGACTAGTTAGGAGACAGACGGGGCAGCCGGGCACAGAAGAGTGGTCGAGTTGGGAGCGCCTGCTAGTCCTGAACTAGGATCAACCAGGGCAACTGGGACTGGTGCTGGAAGAGGTGTGACAGCAGTGTGGTCGCGGAAGAAGCACTGAGACCGCCTGAGTCCAGCGTGAAGGAGATCGATGCAACAACAGTCGTCACGGCTTGATTAGTGACGACATAAGCACCTACACTAAAAGCACAAGTACCTACACTAGGAACAGACAATGATCCTAAGCTAGATACATGCAAGCGAAGACATCATACGTGACTGAATAAACAACATCCATAGACATATCAAATACTGGGTAACCATTACGAGACAGACCGGCGCCAGATTAGTGGCCTCGACTCATACCCAAAACGCTCATGGTAGACGTCGTCGAGGCAGCTGTAAGCAGCACTGTGCGAGTGGTCAGGAAGCCAGCAGGTAGTGCCCCAGCACCTGGGCCGGTCAGGATCCGGTACTGGCAGGGGCAAACATCGCGACCACAAGCGACGGACCCCCCAACTGGCTGGGCCGCTGCTGCAGCCAACACTACCCGAGCCACCAGGCCCCCCACGGCTGCTCAAAGCACCACTGCTGCTGAGGGCGCCACTGGTGCTGAGGGTGCCACTGCTGCTGAGGGTGCCACTGCTGAAATTGTTGCGGTCCCTGCTGCTGTAAGGGCGGGTTGAGCCATGGGAAGGGATAGCTTGGCAACAGGCGCGAAAAACTACTCGAGCAGAAGTAGCAAGAACTAGGAACTGCTGGAGGTAGAAACACAAGGACCACCGGGCTAGGAACGGCTGGTACGAGGAGCGGCTGGAGCGAGGAATGAGAAATGGGTGTAGGCGAGTGGAGCCAAAACGGCTGGAGTTGAAACGTTTGGACCTAGAACAGCTGGAGCTTAAAGGGCTGGACCTAGAACGGCTGGAGCTAGAACAGCTGGAACTAGAATGGCTGGAGCGAGAATGGCTGGAGCTGAAACGACTGGAGCGAGAAAGGCTGAAAAGAGAACGGCTCGAGCCAGAACTGCTGGAGCTGAAACGGCTGGACCTACAGCGGCGGCTAGAGCGAGAACAGCTGGAGCTGAAACGGTTGGATTGAGATCATCCGGAATGAAACGGCACTGAGAACGGCTAGAGCTAGGAGTGACTGCAGTGAGGACGAACAGGGCTAGGAACGCCTGTAGCATCGGGTACTAAACCTAATCCCGCGCCAGTAGAGAACTTCGGCTGCCAGCCGCTACTGGAGATGCCTATGGTAGTAGGCGTGGTGTTGAAGTGGCGGTTATGGTGCGCTGTGGCGGCGGGGGAAAGGGCTGTGAGCAGCTGGGAAGGCCTGTGAGCAGCTGTGAAGGCCCATGGAGTACTTTACTGGGTGGTGTGTACTGCTCTGCAGTGGCTTATCTGCAGGGTGGCGCGGGCTGCTCTGCAGGGGTGCGCGCTGTTATGCAGGAGCGCGCGTTGCTCTGCACAGTGGCACCGGCTGCTCTGCAAGGGCGCGTGCTGCTCTGCAGGGTGGAGCGGGCTGCAATGCAGGGGCGCGCGCAGCTCTGCAGGGGTGCGCGCAGCTCTACAGGATGGCGCGGGCTGCTTTGCAGGGGCGCGCGCTGCTCTGCAGGGGCGCGCGCAACTCTGCAGGGTGGCGCGGGCTGCTCTACAGGGGTGCGCGTTGCTATGCTGGAGCGCGCGCTGCTCTGCAGGGTGGTACGGGCTGCTCTGTGAGGGCGCGCGCTGTTCTATAGGGTGGCGCGGGCTGCAATGCAGTGGCGCGCGCTGCTCTGCAGGGGCACACGTAGCTCTGCAGGGTGGCGCGGGCTGCTCTGCAGGGCGCGCGCTACTCTGCAGGGGCGCGGGCTGCTCTACAGGGGCGCGCGCTGCTCTGCAGGGTTGCGCGGGCTTCTCTGCAGGGGCGCAATGAAACGAGGGCCCGCCTAGCCCCTTGAACGTGACTAATCGAGCCCGCAGGGGCCTTTAAATGAATGAAATCGAGGCCCACGGGGGCCTTTAAAGCGACGAAACGGAGCCTAAGGGACAGACGCTTCGAGCGCAACTAAGGGAGGGAGCGGAAGCGAAACATATAACCTACTCAAAAACCATTTAAAAGTAGCCTAGAAAACAATGTCAAGCGATTTGCGTTGGGTGGATGATCGGCAAGAGGATACAAAGAGTTAAAGCCGGCAGCCAAAATTGCACACGTTTTAAAAGGTTGACGCGAGGGGGTTTTTCTGGTCTGGGTTTTGCCGAAATATTCCGATTTCGCTGTTTCCGTCTTTTTCGCGAAACCCAGCCTGCCCTCGTATTTCACCATGGGAGTTGGTTCAGTCCACAAAATTCCCAAGTTGCAGGCGCTCTTTTTTTCAAACCTTGCAAACACTAGTTCGTCAAGTTTTAAAAGCTTGACCCGCGCGGCCCGCAATTTGGGCCGCGGGCTTTAGAAACGATGACGAGTGTTTCTGATTTCGTCAATTCGTTTTTTTTTTTTTTTTTCGTCAAACCTAGCGAGCCCCTCAATTTTTCCCTGGTGGGTGGGTGTGTCAGACTTCGATAGTCCCAAATTGCACATGCGCTACCTTTCAAAGCTTGGACAGGCCACTTCGTCAAGTTTTAAAAACTTGACCCGCGTAGTCCGCAATTTGGGCCACTGGCTTTAACCTAAACAAAGTGTTGTACCCTTCAAAGCAACTCATTCCACCCTATAATAACTAAATGTAAATTTTTTAAAGTGTGTAACACTTTCAAAATTGTGTATTGTGAATAGCGAAGCGAGTTCTACCAAAGCAAAGGCTTCGGCGAACCGCTACTTCCCCTCTTTTTGGTACAAAAGAGGGGGCGAAGGCCATTTGGCCTTCACCCACGTTTTCATTTCGAACTTTCAATTTCAAGTTTCTAGATTTTTCGTCCAAGCTGGCGAGGGTCAAGACTCTCCCTCGCTTCACTTCCCCGTCAACGCTTCTCTCCGATATACTCGAGCGGAACTTATCGACGATGGCGACGACCAACAATAATACCCCCGGGGCTAAGGACTCGCCTGCGCGTCCATCGACGGGGCTTGAAAAAACGCCTCGGGAAACAAGCGCGGAGAAAAGGAAGCGCCCCGCCGACAATCACGCCGAAGGCACCCACACGGGGTCGACGTGCTGCTCGGCGAGGGCGGTACAGTCGCGCGACTGTCCCAGCCACGCACGACCCACACGCAGGCTCGAGGGGCTGCAGGCGGCGGCAATGATGGCGATTTCGTTGCCACCCCTGCCGCTGCCGCTGCAGATCCGAGTGGATCTCGCGCCCCCCCAAAACGCAGGGCGACGGATTCGACCGCGTCAGACGGGGCGGCGGCGAATCTTTCGCCCTCCCAGCTCGCGGCACTGTTGGCGCTCCTCCAGAAGCAGGCCTCGACTCCTGCAAAAGCGCCTACAGCTACAATCGAAGAAATTTCAGCATCCGCTAAGACTTCAAACGTGCGCAACAACGTTTCTTCTTCCGCACGTGTCGCCGCAACCACTCGCGCCGACAGAGGAAAGGCCCCCCGCTGTCGAAGACGAACCGGCTCCCCTGCTGACATCGACTCCGACTCCGACAGCGACGAGGGTGAGGAGCCGAATATCCGTATTTCGAATTTGCCTAACGATCTCCTTCCCCCTCTCCCCTCTTCTCACCCCTTGGCCGCGGCCGCCGCATTTAACCGCAAAGGCGTCCGCGACCAGGCTGAGGTCTTCGAAGCGCTCCAGATCTACTTGGTGCATGTGGAGCACAAAATCCGCAACGGCGACACTACCGACGCGATCAAGACCGTCGGCCAAGCCCAAGACCTTATCAAGCGTCGTTTTGACGTGTTGGTTGTCGCCGACCACGCGGGCTTCGACGTCGCTGAACGCTACCAGCTGCTGAAGACTACAGCAGTGCTTACCTCGCACTCCTTCAAGATGGCGGTGGCGGATATGGCGGCGCTTAAGCGCATGAAGACCGGCCCTCCTCGCGGAAACCGTTTCTTTCTTTCGGGAACCCGTTGCCTTCATGCCAAAGGGCATGGGAGGAGGAACCGGCTGCCGCGGCTTCAAGGGTACCTGCTTCCGCTGCGGCCAGCAGGGCCACATGGCCAGCGCGTGTCCCCATGGAGGCCATGGGGGCAATGGGCCCGCACCGGTGGTGTGAGAGCCCGAGTGCTCCTTGCCACGTCTCCTTTCATTGCTCCAAGGCGGACTCCGCCTTGTTTTGCTTTGAAAAGGAGTTGGTGGAAGGGCAGGGCAGGACCAGGGGGTCCTTGAGTAGGCTGGTCAGCCTAGGCTAGAGGCAAGGATTGCTCTAGGCCATTGAAAAAAAAAAAAAAAAAAAAGTGTGTGCGTGTGTGTGTGTGCATTCACGGTTGAGCCCGGGTGGCCTCTAGTTGTATTATTATATTGGATGTATAACCCAGGCTGCTGGCCTTTGTGGTACACGGTCCCCACGCAAGCCACGACATGACAAAAAAAAAAAAAAAAAAAGGAGGAGAAAGTGGGGGAGAGAGAGAGAGAGAGAGAGAGAGAGAGAGAGAGAGAGAGAGAGAGAGAGAGAGAGAGAGAGAGAGAGAGAAAGGAAGGGACCTGACACCACCTCCATCAACCAAACAACGATGGACACAAAGCACCGAGGATGCAAGGGTGCATTTTTTTTTTTCACGTCCCGAGTGAGGGAACCATGACCAATGGGCATCCTAATATGGAGAAGCTCCAAAAAAAAAATAAGCAATGGGGGCGAGAAAGAAGAGAGAAAAATGTGACCGACATACTTGGGTATGGCATGAACGGAGCTCGTGATTGTTCAAAAAAGAAGAAGAAGAAGAAGAAGAAGAAGAAGAAGAAGAAAAGAAGAAGAAGAAGAAGAAGAAGAAGAAGAAGAAGAAGAAGAAGAAGAAGAAGAAGAAGAAGAAGAAGAAGAAGAAGAAGAAGAAGAAGAAGAAGAAGAAGAAGAAGAAGAAGGAGAAGAAGAAGAAGAAGGGGAGTACGAGCCTCTGCAATTTATACCCCCAGCGTCTAAAAAAAAAAGAGGGGGGGGGGGGGGGGGGGAGGAAGGGGAGCGAGAGAGGGAGCGGGAAAGAAGGGACCAAACACAAATGAAGGCGAGTTAAAAGAAACCAAGCCTACCAAGCGAGAGGGCTTGCTCAAGCATTATGGGGAGCATCCCGACCCGCATAGGTCCGCAAGCATGTCATTGCTCTCACCCTCACCCTCTCAGCAGCATCTCGTTGGACGTATGCAAGTATGAGGGAAGTCGGCTAGTGCGGCGCATACTCACGTCGTCTGACAATGCACGTTCTCCCTTATGTTTATCTTGTTTGCAATGGGTACCTTGTGGTTCGAACCGAAAGGGTTGACACGCCACTCTTGTTGCCCCAAACCAACCACGTTGGCAGGCCCCTATTCCTCACGACTTGGTGAATGGAGCAAACCCATGGAGCACGTGATCACCGACAAGGAAGTAACCACCATGGGGGGTCGACTACGCCAAGCTTTCGCTTGGTGGGGCTCATGGTGCGAGAGTAGTCTCATCCTGTCCGTCATATCCAATGGATACTGGCTCCCCTGGAAAGCATTGCCACCACCATCGTTTCGCGACAAGAACCATGCCGGTGTACAGCGGCACAACGAGTTCACACGCTCGGCAATCTCCGACTTGCTCTCGTCCGGTGCAGCAGCAGTCGCAGCTGGCCCGAATGCTGTGGCATGCACTAGTCCACTCAACGTCGTGGAGCAACGCGACAAGTGTCGCCTCATCTTAGACTTGAGGAAAGTCAACCAATACCTCGTTATTCCAAAGTTCAAATATGAAGGCCTGGTGCGAGTCGCCGAGTTGGCACAACCGGGCGATTGGATGTTCTCCATTGACCTGAAGTCCGGATACCATCACGTCGATATCCACCCGTCCTGCTGGAAGTTCCTGGGATTTCACTTCGACGGCACAGATTACTACTTCAAGTCGTTACCGTTCGGCCTTGCAACTGCGCCCTTCCTTTTCACTCAGTTGATCAAACAACTGGCTCGAAAATGGTGTGCGCAAGGCACCCGTGTCATTCCGTATGTGGATGATATCTTATTCCTCTGCCACTCGGAGGAGGATGCACGCGCGACATGTAATGCAAGCATTCTGGACCTACGAGGGTCGGGCCTTGTTATCAACGCGAAAAAATCGCACCTCACCCCGACCCAGAAACTGCAGTTTCTCGGGATGGAGTTGGACACTCAATCGGGAAGATTCGCCATCGGTTCCGAACGCCGAGCGCAACTCATGCACACGCTCCGGGTGCTTCTCACCGCCTATGAGCGTGGACAGCGGATACCAATCCGCATTATCGCACGGGTCACCGGCATCCTCGCCTCCATGGCACTGGCTCTTGGTAGAACGGCACGGGCATTCAGTCACCAACTCCTAAAACTCATCAATACGGCGCCGTCATGGAATGCCAGAACACACCTGACACCGGAGGTCGGCGACGAGCTCAACTTCTGGCTTGACAATTTTGATCGTTTAACGGGGCACCATTTCACATGCCCCACAGCATCGACACAGTGACTCATGTCGATGCAAGCGCCCACAGTTGGGGTGCGACCCTAGCTTCATTTCTCGGAGAAAACCTGCAAGGCAGCAGCCCTATGCCACACGAGCTTCTCACCACCTCGAGCACACGCCGAGAGCTCGAAGGCGTGCTCTGGGCCCTGCGTACATTCTCAAACCGAATTCAAGGCCGCCATGTGCTCATGCGTGTGGACAACCAAGGCGTATTCTTCATCCTTCGTAAAGGCGGTTCCAGACAACCCGAGCTCACCCTCCTGTGCAAATCCATCATCGCACACTGCATGGCAAACGAAATCCGGTTAGCAATCGAATGGATCCCTCGCGCAGTCAACGTGGAGGCAGACGCACTCTCTAAGTTGAAAGACAACGACGACTACTCAATGAAACTCCCTTGGTTCCGGTTGCTGGAGAGGCATTGGGGACCACACACTGTCGACCTTTTTGCTAACGCAAACAATGTTGGGTGCAAATGCACATTGCACGACATCCTGCCGTCTGTTTGTACGAGTATGCGTGTGCGAATGCATTTGCGTGTGAATGGTGTGTTCGTGTGTTTGTTTGCTTTCGCATTTTTCGCTTGATGCATTTGCAGGTACTCGCGCAATGTGCGCTTCGGCACAACATTGTACGCGCTATGAACAGTGCAAGCAGAAAGGACGAGCTCGCAAAGGAACCCAAGATGGAAGCTTTGCAGTTCGGTTGAGTTGATTGCGCAGATTCAGTTCTATCCAACTCGAAATTGTACTGTTTTGTTTGGTTAACTATAGTGTAGCAGGGAAGGCACTATAGGGGTACAATTTAGGTGAAGGTTGGATGCTGTTTGTCTGTATCTGCATGCTACAAGGCCAGGGGAAACCAGCGGAACCAGCATTTGGCTGGTTGGGCAAAGACAAAACAGGTTCTGTTTTTAGAACCTGAACCTGGTTGTTGTTTTCCCAGGTTGGAAAAACAGAACCAGAGGTTGTTTACCAACCTACCACCTGCTATTTTGTCCAGCCAGGTTGGTTCTGTTGCTTGGAATTATTTGGGATCATCCCTGGTTGTTCCCAGGTTGATTCCCAAGGTCCTTGCTAGCTAGAACTATTTAATCCTTCTCTGTTTGTACCTGAATATAGTCAAATTGATTCATGCGAATTCCTTCCTCGCTGGAATTTCGTTTCTACGCGGTTCGTTGGCGGAATGCTACCCGAGTCAACGCTAGTACGCTAGCACTCTAATGCTAGGCAAACACCGTCTGAGCCATAACTTCGTAATGGCAGAACTTTTCGCGAGGCAACTTGGCTCATTTTAAAGCTCTTGGAGCGAGCTTCGATATAGCGAATTCTCAGCTTAATCCGACCGACGGTCTGCACGGCACGCTGCGCGACGTTCAAGATACTCTTGCTGTTTTGACTAAGTCCTTCTTGATCCCTCTCTCTACAAACTCGGACCCGAGGATAGGGGCTGGTCTTGTACCAGGCACCCAGGGACCCTTGGAGGTGACCCCGAGGAGAGGTTTTAAGTTTGATTAAGTCCTAATAGCTTGAGTTTATTAGGCCCTTACACCGACAAGCTGGTATCAGAGCTGCGTTATAGTGATCCTCGTTATAGGTAGCTATGGCGGGCAACACCTCGGCGGGAGCTGGTGAATCTTCAGCCCAAGATCGTAGCGGCAGCCAAGATTCTGGTCTTTCAGCGCCAAGGGGAGCGCGAACAAACCAGGGCTCGCTTGTCAAGGAGGTGCTGAAGAATTTCACCGTCGAGAAGTTCAATGGTGAGGGCTATGATGATTGGGCCTGGAAAATGCAATTATATTTCCGTCAGATCGGTTTGCTGAAACTAATGATTGGGGAGGAGCCTAGACCGAGTGACCCCACGCTGCAGGAAGATTGGGACGAGCGCTCCTCGGCTGGCTACTATTTGATGTCGCAGAGTTTGGAGCTGAACCAGCGTCACCACGTCATGCACCTGCTGCCGGAGGTTGAATGCGGTCCGAAGGCGTGGACCGTGTTGAAGGAGCTGCACGCCCCGACCTCCGTTGTCGCAACGTTGATGCTGGAGAGGGAGCTGTCCGCGTTGCGCCTGAGCGAGGGAGAGCCGGTGCAACCAGTCCTGGACAAGATGCGCGACCTCTACGCGAAGTTGGCGACCGCGGGAATCACCTACCCGGAGCAGACCAAGTGCTTGAAGATGCTCTCGCTGCTGCCAGAATCGTGGCTTCAATTTACGAGCGGATTGAGCCTGCCGCAGAACCAGAGCTTGTGGACGCTCGAGTGGGTGCGGACGAAGATTCTGGAGGAGGACTTCCGTCGCCGCCAACTGAGGGGTGGAGACGACGGCAGCAGCGGCTACGGGATGCAAGGGAGCCGACGTGGCAGAGGACGTGGCTTCGGTGGTGCTGGACGCGGTGCAAAGAAAGACGACGACTCCAACGACCAACAAGGAGGTACCGGTTGGGGTCGCGGTGCGAAATCTGGACGTGGGGGCAAGTCGGGTGCTGGTGGCAAAATGAAAGGGAGTTGCTGGTATTGTGAGAAGGAAGGGCACCCCTGGTTTTTGTGCTATAAGAAACCCGATGGATGGACCCCCCAGAATCGTCACCAGGATGGCGGCGCGCGGAGGAACCAGAAAAACGGCGCCAACATGGTCGCTGATTCGTCCGACAACAACCCGAAGGGCAACGGCGGTGCGGAGAAGAAGAAGGAGCGCACCGCGGGCCAATTCTTCCATGTAGGAGACAAGGGGGAGCAAGGAGACGCCTCTGCCAAAGTTGGAGCAGAGCTGCACCCCCTAGACTATTGGGTGTTGGACACAGGCGCTGCTTGGACGATGACGCCGCGCAAGGACCTGCTGGACGAAGTACGAGCTGCACCGATCAATGAAGTGTGCTCCGCCTCTGGACACATGTTGAAGGTGGCTGGTGCGGGACGAGCTGCGTTTAAGGGAGCGGATGGCAAGCCGGTGGTGCTGCACGACGTTCTCTTCGTCCCCGACCTGAAGGCCAACCTTATCTCCCTCCGTAAGCTTGGCAAGGCTGGGGTGAACACCAACACGGATGGGGCACGCACTTATAAGGGGAAGCTGGGCAATTGGGTGCTTTGGGATCTGCACGAGAGCAAGGACGTGTACAGATCTATGTGGCAGCTGCCGGCCTTGGCGTGGCATGGTGGGGGGCAGGCTGGAGAGGGGTCTGCATCCCAGGGGGAGTGCAATGCCGTTGGAGGGGTTGGTGTGAAAGTGTCGGCCAGATCTGGGGAGACAGATTGGGCAACGGCACACCGGCGCTTAGGGCATGTGGCAATGCCTTTGCTGAAGCAGCTGGAGAAGGATGGAGCCGTTAAGGGTCTGAAGCTGAACGGACAGCCACCCGATGACAACTGTGAAATCTGTTTGCTTTCAAAGTTCACCCGTTTCCCTTTCCATAGTGTGGCTGGCAGGAGCAAGAAGCCTTTGGAGCTGGTCCACATGGACTTGGTGGGGCCGCTGCCGGTGCAAGGGCACAAGGGGGAGCGGTATTTTCTTACAATTGTGGATGACTGGAGCAGGCTGATGTGGGCGTATCCGCTGAAGCAGAAGGACCACGCCGCCTCCACGATACGGGACGATTGGCTGCCATTCGTGGAGAAGCAGGCGGAGTGTGTAGTGAAGCGGATTAGGACAGACCGGGGTGGTGAGTTCCTTGGAGCTGAAATGACGGCCTGGCTCAAGAAGCAGGGCATCCAGAGAGAGCTGACCACGGCTTATACCCCACAGTCCAATGGTGTAGCAGAACGGGCAAACCGGACCATTCTGGAGACAGCTAGGGCGCTGCTCATAGAATCTGGGCTGAGCAATTCTATGTGGCCTCATGCTGTCCGGCACGCCACTGTCGCTAGGAACAGGGTGCTCACCAAGGTTGGGGATGACTCGTGGGTGCCGTTGGAGAGGTGGCTTGGGAGGAAGCCGCCGGTGGACATGCTGAGGGTGTTCGGTTGCATGGCAGTCGCCCACGTCCCCAAGACCTACCGCAGTAAGTTGGGGGCGAGTGCAATCTGGTGTGTGCATTTGGGGCTGGCTGCTGAGAGCAAGGGATGGCTGCTGTGGGAACCATCCAAGGGTGTGTTGTTTGACAGCAGGGATGTGAAATTCATTGAGGGCATGATGTATGGGAGCTGGGAGAAACAGCCGGAGGCAAGGGTGTCCCAGCAGATGGAGCAGATCACCATGCAGCTGGACCTGACTCCTAGTGTGTGGGAGGAGGGAGAGGAGGCAGCTGCTGGAAATGGTGATGGAGAGAAGATACAGGAGGCATCTGCTGGTGGAGAAAATGGTGTGGAAACTGGCGGCAGCACTAGTGGAGCTGCTGGACCCGAGGGAGGAGAGAAGCAGCAGGGAAAAACTAAGAAGCCGAAGGGTGTCGTTATGAAGGGATGGGAGACACCCGTCTCCAGGCCAGGACGTACCCGTATGGCTACTAAGAAGCTGACTGCAGGAACTGATGCAGCAGAGCAGCAGCTAGGGACCGAAGAGGCATTGCTGATTCTACCTCATGGCTATGACCCGGATGAGGAGGATGAGCCTGCGTACTGTTTTCTTGCCCCTGCACCAGAGGAACCAGCTAGCATGGAGGAGGCATTAGCTGGACCAGATAGGGACAAGTGGCTGGCTTCTAGGGATGCTGAGTACCAGAGTCTGCTGGAGAATAGGACATGGGATCTGGTGGTGCTGCCTGATGGGAAGAAAGCGATACAATGCAAGTGGGTGCTGAGGATCAAGACCGATGACAAGGGGCAGGTCACCATCTACAAGAGTAGGCTGGTGGCGAAGGGGTTTATGCAGAAGGAGAAGCAGGACTTCAACGAGATCTTTGCTCCCACTGCCAAACCCCCTACCCTCCGTGTCTTGTTGGCAGATGCAGCTGTTAGTGGGAAATTCATCATTCAGATGGATATTTCAACGGCATTCCTGAATGGGATTTTAGAGGAGGATGTGTACATGACGCAGCCGCCTGGGTATGAGGATGGTACGGGCAGGGTGTG